GTAGTGTACTTTCTAGCTTATCTAGCCCCAAGCGTCATGCCAGGTATATTGTCATCACCTAAAACTGTTAGATATCTTTGTATTTCTCTAAATTAATTCTTATCTTATCATTGATACTTCTAAATTCTTCAATGATATAATTATGTTCTATTATGAAGTTGAAATATATCAATTTTTGTTTTTTAATTATTTATTGTTCTTAATTTGCACAGTAGGTCAACAAAATATCACAAAAACAAATTAAAATATGTGAATACCATCTTTTCTCCATTTGATTGATTACCACTTACACAAATAAATTACAATCAAAACGATTGTCCAACACTTTAACTTCCCAATTGTCCAACAAACATCTTCCAAATTGACCCACATAATTTCATAACTTTCTTACCTGTAATTTTTTAAAGTGGGACAATCGGGAGGACAACACTGGGTCAATAGAACTGAGGACAGGTCTCTCTTGCACACTTGAAATAGTTACATAAATATTGTGTATTGGTATTGTTTTGTGTTTGTCACATGCTTGAGTTATTTAGTATCATAACAATAAAGATTTGTTCAGTAAAATATACTACAGTATATAACTAGAATATTAGTTTGATCGTCATCTGTGCTAATTCAAACGTTACAAAAAGTAACAGTTTGTAAAATAAAATACATTAAGGAATATTACACAAATATAAATTTTGCATAACAAATATTTACCTTACGGTGTCAAACTTTTTAGAAGTAGTATACCGTATATTTGAATATGGTGACTTGTGTACATTAATCAAGTTGACTGGAAACCAAACAATTTTACTTCGTACATGTTGATATATCATTGTAGATCTGCAGTTCTTACAATCGTTTGGGTGAAAGGTCAATACTGTGGAATGTATTCTCCCATTTCATCCCTGCTATAAATACGTTGCTCTAAGTTTTTTTCTTCAATATCCATCCCTACACTGGAAAGAACATGACACATGGGATTAAGATTTCCTTCATTATTGTATTGCTGTATACAGGTAAGACTTGGTTTTAAATCTATAGACAAAAATATTGAAGTTATCACTCGTATGGTAATTAATAACCTTAATCATTGGAAAGTATTATTTCGTACTTAATGTGTGTATTAAAAAGATGGTTTTTGAGCAGAGATTCCTTTATCACCGTTAAATATACAATGTTGCACATACCTATACACGTCTACCAGTTTGTGAATCTGAAGAATATGCTTTGCTAACTTTTAAACTACACAGAATATTGTAAAAGGCTGTAAAGATAGTCATAAAAACAAATTAATCGGCAAAAATATACCCAGGGTTCTCTGTTGTGCAACATAGAACAATATCATTATGAAATTAATTAATAACGGATTTGCCTTTAGAAAAACAACAAGTAACGCTCAGTAACATTTATCTGAACACATGTCAACGTGTATGACGTACTCTCATATATCATTGTTTAAGCGATGTTTTCTAATGATAATGCACCATTAATAACTGTTGGGGAATATTTTATGTTTGTTTATTTAAAACAATTTTTAAGGTGGCACTATAGTATTTCTGGGCCATAGGGATAATGATAGCCTTTTCAGAATTTTCACTTTCTAACACTGCCCAAGAACCTACATACACAGTTAACTGAAGTAATTTCATTATAATATTCAGAAATAAATTTGAATATGTATGATAGCCGTTTATCTTTTCTTGTATCTTTATGAACCTAAGATTATTCTACACCTGATTCATCCCTCAGCTTGGAAAAGTACAATGTATGTTCATTAGATACTGTAGTTTTTGTCGAACCACAGTGTTCAGTACATTGACTTAAATAGGGTACACAAAAAAGCAACCTAAGTTCCGGAATGTAACTACTACAGTGCCACCATAAACTAAGTTGTATATATAAAAGGAGAAAAAAAATAGTCGGAAGATATAAAAGGACGAAGCAAAACGGGGCAGCCCCGTTATTCCGACACCCCATTAGTCCGACTCCCGCAATAGGACGACACTCCAATAGTTCAACATCCCACTATTCCGACATCGGAATATCTAAAAAATATATATTTTTCTTAAATAGAAAGTCATATAAAAGGTTCGTTCAATATTAAGAGGAGGGTATTGTCCTTCAACGGAAACACAGCATACTTATTAAAGTGTTGTCCAAAAGGGAAAGACTACTGTTTTTCTTCTGATTATTATTAAGGTCTTTCCTTTTCCAAAAGGGAAAGACCTTACTGTATTTCTTCTGATTATTGTTACGGTCTTTCCTTTTCCAAACGGGAAAGACCTTACAGTATTTCTTTTGATTATTATTATTAAGGTCTTTCCTTTTCCAAAAGGTTACTGTAAACCTTCACAAGTTATGTCTCTATGAGATGAAACATAGAGATCATATCTGGGAACCAGTACGTAAACAAAAAAAAATATCTATGAATATTATATATCTCCCCAAAAGAGGCGTGGTTTGTGAGACAGCTTTATTTAGAAAGTGCAACCTATACTAACATTTATTCAAAAAAACCAATTATCTTGAAAAAACAATTTTTCTCTCAACAATACTTATTTATCAGAGTCATAGTATAAAAGAAATCACTGCATATACTTTAACTTTTCTTTTACAGTACATTTAATACCCCCACCCCTGTTTCAATTTTTAAAGAATTTGAAAACAAGACTTTAATTATTGTAAGCTTATCCTATGTGCATGTTTTCTGACATGAAATGCCTAGAACCTGTATGAAACTATTCTGATAACAAATTGAAAGCATTTCAGAATACTATAAATGTAAAGTTTAGTAGTTAATCATTCCAACATTCAAGATTATATAAAGTATCCAATCCTGCCTCTGTCTCCAGTCCATATCTTACTGTATACCTATTTATATATAAAAGTTCACAATTTCTACCTCAAATGATCAGTTTTAAAATCTTGTCGCAATAATATCATCTCAAACCATATATCTAACATAATTAGGCTAATATATGAACTAGAAGTGATTTAACCAAGCCATATTTGCAAATGTTATATGTATGAAGTTACTAGCCTGATATAATATAATACTGGTAACATTCCCAAGTTATGTCTCTATGAGATGAAACATAGAGATCATATCTGGGAACCAGTACGTAAACAAAACAAAATTTCAATGAATATTATATATCTCCCCAAAAGAGGCGTGGTTTGTGAGACAGCTGTATTTACAAAGTGCAACCTATACTAACATTTATTCAAAAAGAACAATTATCTTGAAAAACACTTTTTCTCTCAACAATACTTATTTATCAGAGTCATAGCAAAAAAGAAATCACTGCATATACTTTAACTTTTCTTTTACAGCACATTTTATACCCCCACCCCTGTTTCAATTTTTAAAGAATTTGAAAACAAGACTTTAATTATTGTCAGCTTATCCTATGTGCATGTTTTTTGACATGAAATGCCTAGAACCTGTATGAAACTATTCTGATAACAAATTTAAAGCATTTCAGAATACTATAAATGTAAAGTTTAGTAGTTAATCATTCCAAGTCTCCAGTCCACATCTTACTTTATACCTATTTATATATAAAAGTTCACAATTTCTACCTCAAATTGTCAGTTTTAAAATCTTGTCGCAATAATATCATCTCAAACCATATATCTAACATAATTAGGCTAATATATGAACTAGAAGTGCTTTAACCAAGCCATATTTGCAAATGTTATATGTATGAAGTGACCAGCCTGACATAATATAATACTGGTAACATTCCCAAGTTATGTCTCTATGAGATGAAACATAGAGATCATATCTGGTAACCAGTACGTAAACAAAACAAAATATCTATGAATATTATATATCTCCCCAAAAGAGGCGTGGTTTGTGAGATCACCCCCAGTTTTTGGTGGGGTTCGTGTTGCTTAGTCTTTAGTTTTCTATGTTGTGTCATCTGTACTATTATTTGTCTGTTTGTCTTTTTATTTTTGCCCATGGCGTTGTCAGTTTGTTTTCGATCTATGAGTTTGACTGTCCCTCTGGTATCTTTCGTCCCTCTCTTGTGAGACAGCTGTATTTACAAAGTGCAACCTATACAAACATTTATTCAAAAAGAACAATTATCTTGAAAAATACTTTTTCTCTCAACAATACTTATTTATAAGAGTCATAGCATAAAAGAAATCACTGCATATACTTTAACTTTTCTTTTACAGTACATTTTATACCCCCACCCCTGTTTCAATTTTTAAAGAATTTAAAAAAAAAGACTTCAATTATTGTCAGCTTATCCTATGTGCATGTTTTCTGACATGAAATGCCTAGAACCTGTATGAAACTATTCTGATAACAAATTGAAAGCATTTCAGAATACTATAAATGTAAAGTTTAGTAGTTAATCATTCCAATATTCAAGATTATATAAAGTATCCAATCCTGCCTCTGTCTCCAGTCCACATCTTACTGTATACCTATTTATATATAAAAGTTCACAATTTCTACCTCAAATGGACAGTTTTAAAATCTTGTCGCAATAATATCATCTCAAACCATATATCTAACATAATAAGGCTAATATATGAACTAGAAGTGCTTTAACCAAGCCATATTTGCAAATGTTATATGTATGAAGTTACCAGCCTGATATAATATAGTACTGGTAACATTCCCAAGTTATGTCTCTATGAGATGAAACATAGAGATCATATCTGGGAACCAGTACGTAAACAAAACAAAATATCTATGAATATTATATATCTCCCCAAAAGAGGCGTGGTTTGTGGAGAGCTGTATTTTATATTTACAAAGTGCAACCTATACTAACATTTTTTTCAAAAAGAACAATCTAGAAAAACACTTTTTCTCTCAACAATACTTATTTATCAGAGTCATAGTATAAAAGAAATCACTGCATATACTTTAACTTTTCTTTTACAGTACATTTTATATCCCCCACCCCTGTTTCAATTTTAAAGAATTTGAAAACAAGACTTTAATTATTGTCAGCTTATCCTATGTGCATGTTTTCTGACATGAAATGCCTACAACCTGTAAGAAACTATTATGATAACAAATTGAAAGCATTTCAGAATACTATAAATGTAAAGTTTAGTAGTTAATCATTCCAAAATTCAAGATTATATTAAGTATCCAATCCTGCCTCTGTCTCCAGTCCACATCTTACTGTACGCCTATTTATATATAAAAGTTCACAATTTCTGCCTCAAATGGTCAATTTAGAAAATTAGGCTAAATATATGAACTAGAAGTGTTTTAACCAAGCCATATTTGCAAATATTATATGTATGAAGTTACCAGCCTGATATAAAAAAAAATACTGGTAACATTCCCAAGTTATGTCTCTATGAGATGAAACATAGAGATCATATCTGGGAACCAGTACGTAAACAAAAATTGACAATACGAAAATAGGGGTGGCGTAGTACCTTAAGTTGATTTTGGAGCGATTTATAGAATTTGTGACGGGCAACAACGATCAACAACTGCATATTATGATGTAGAGGAAACATTGGCGTATTTATTAGGAAAAACTCCAGAATGGTTTATTTTCAAAAATCTGAAGTTAGGGTAGAAAACTGAAATTGACGAAACGAAAATGAGGGAGTGGTGTACCTTAAAATGATTTTGGACCAATTTATAGCGATTGTGACGGGCAAACTATACAGGTGATGTAGGGACGACATTTATGTATCGTTTATGAAAAACTCCAGAATGGTTTATGTTCGGCTACGTAGGGGAAAGACCTTATTAAATAAAAATTTCCTCAAAGCTGGATTATAAAGTAAAAATATTAAAGCAAAATCATGATGTTTAGAAATACGGAAGTACACATATAATTGATGAACACATTATAATACAAGAACCTTTGTACAAAATAAATGTATTCATGTATTATTCTGAAAACTAATGTTATTAATTTTAATGCATCAAAATGAGGGTTTAACGTTATCAGTTATGTGAATACCACAAGGTCCTGATAATAAATCAATGTTTAAAATGCCCGAACCGTTTATAATACAGTGACCTACATTTCGGTACATTTGTACATCCGAACGCGTGATGAATTCCGTTATCCAACATAATTATGATTATTTTCTCAGCAATGCATAATATGTAATTTATGAATTTAACCTCTACCCGACGTATAATCAATTATTCATTAGAAATCATGATCTCAAAGCAACTATGAACTTATGAAATACAGCGTTTGGTTTGCGCAGGGGTAGGCCGTTCTTTGATTTTTCGGTTGTAAACCGGTACGGCATTAAAAACCAAAAAGTAGTGTGTAAAGTCTTGTTGATTGAATTACTACGGATTTTATCCTCGTACAAAGGCATATCCGAAGAGTCAATAAAAGTACCTAACACGGAAATAATAAATATAAACTAATATCGCATTGACTCGAGTTTCCCGAACACAGGGTGTATTTGTTAAACTGTCTATATTTACGAACAACGTACAGTCACTGGCTATATTTACTCTATAGCGATTTGAAGTAATTTCGGGTTAACAACAGTAAATCACCAGACAAGCTTTGCAATACGGAGTAAAATAGGATTGTTATATATATGTTTACTTCAATAAAAATCTAGAAAAGCGCATCGGACTTTTAAACAGCGTTACATGTATTTTCATTTTGGTGCAACATTTTTTCTTACATAGAAACAAAAGGGATTGTGTATTGCTCACCTGTTACATTTGAGATTGATTACGGCATTTATATGGACATGTACTTATCAATTCCAGTAAAAATGTTCCCTTAATGTTTAGTCAAGAATTGATTACATTTTTTAATATATTCAATTAATACTGAATGTTAAATCACTTTCTTAGTATATTTTTATGTCATCTTTTTCATCTTACAGATTTTATATATGGCCAAGTGTCAACTCAAGAGGAATTAGATGACATTGCTAAGAATTTACGAGTTGAAGTTCACGTTGTTGACAATTTGCAATTCAATGGGAATAAGCACCTTTTCCGAATAATATTTGAAAATAAAGGGTTCCATTCTTTATCAGGGTTAAACTGGAAAATCTACTTCTTCAGCTTTTTCCTTATTGAAGCAGAACATATTTTATCACCAGATGGACACAACATTTTACCCGGGGGATACATACTTCATGAATCAAAACTTAGAATCGATCATGCAAAAGGTAGTTTGTATTCACTCACCCCAGTTGAAGATTTTTCGGAAATTAAACCTAATTCTACAAGAGAGATACGTTTCTTTGGGTCGAACTGGGCAATATCAAAATCAGACATACCTCCAAACTGGTATATAACTGTCGATGGGTTATCGCCTCGTGTCTTTGAAAGTACATCAGGTGATTTTGTTGGGAATTTTGATGAACCAAATCAATGGAAGAGAATAAAAACTGATCTTTACAACCCTTACACACCTTTAGACCGGTTTGAAAAATATAAGGATATGAGGAAAAATCCTAAGAAAAAAATTGCAATACCAACGCCTAAATCTGTGACTCATCATTACGCCTCGGAAACATTAGATATGAATGGAGACGTTAATATTGTTCACAATGGATTCACAAATGAGGCATCATACCTAGCAAGTAAGTAATCAACGATTTGTACTGGTATCATATATTATTATGTCAAGATATTTGAATATAAATTATTGTAACGTGTGGGAACCCAAATTGCACCTATTTTGACAGTTTTTTCACCTACGTTTATTTATCCATACAAAAGTTTCCATTCTGTGTTTATTTTGTAGATGTATCCTTATTTACTATATAGTTACAACAATTTAATTTTGAATCCATCTTGAATCATAGAAAAATGGGTTTGAACCATCCTCCAAACGATCTATGATTCTGTAATGAGGAGTACCCAAATTGCATCCACGCTTAAATTCACATCCTTAAAAATCGATTAACAGATGTTTTGTTTTATTTCTTCAAATATTTAGAACAACTTGACATTAGTCCATGTTTATTTATTTTTTAAGAAATGGATGCTTGTTACATATTTTATTTGCTCATTTTTAAAAGGTGACTTTTTGTGGACGTCGCATGGCGACGTTCCGTAGATTTTACTTTTCTAGTGAATACATCATCTGTTGATATATACTATGAACGTTTTGTGTATATTCAAATATAGCCTACCTATGTTGAAAGACGTGTATAATGTCAAATCATGAAAATACAAATTGTTTAGTTTCAAGAAAACTTGTAAGATTCCCGCTGCTATTTTTATTGAATAGGTGTAGTTTGGGTACTCGGCGCAATTTGGGTACTCTGACGTTAAAGTGTTTCTGCGAAGAGAAATCATATACAAATAATGTGTTCTATTTGAAGAAGAAAGTTTTGATTTAGACTCGATCTCTGTTAAATTGAGAGAGCGGCATTAGTTATTCATTTACTTACATTTGTATGATGAGCACAAATAATAGAGAAGTATACATTTGATAAGGCTTTCCATGCTTAATCGGAATGACATGTGAATCATACTAAGTTTCTTATCAATTGGTAACGACATGGAATATAACCAGTATTTTGTAGCTAATTTCACTCAAAAAGATTGTGTAACAAATACAGAAGAACATATCCGTCGTCTTATTTTTAGCGTTTTTCTGTATTGATGCCCCGGTTTCAGTGTTTCTTGAAAACTGTCACCAGGTATGCTCTAGATTAAATTTAAGGAAGCAAAAAAAAAAATAGAAGACAATATAAAGCCTTTTTGCATTTAGTAAATTAATAAGGGGCCTTAAGAGAATAGCAGAAACAAACCGATTCCAGGTTTGACCGAGGGAGTGAAACCCTGAGCTTTTGACCGGTATTCACGAATAGTCGATTTACAAAATATAACATTTGCTACATGGGAGATGGTATTTGAAGCCAATTAAGTAATGACTGTAATAACATAAACGGTACCAATTTTTCTGCACCAGATGCGCATTTCGACAATCAATGATGTCTCTTCCGTGGTGCTCGAGGCCAAAATATTTGAAAATCCAAAGCTTATTAAAAAAAGATGAAGAGCTATAAACCAAAAAGGACAAAAAATTAACATTTTTTCTGCCTATGAAGAAATAACCTCAAAAATGTGGTGCACACTGAATAACCCGCGTACCGGGTATTTAAAAGTGTGCACCACTTTTTTGAGGTTATTTCGAATAGACGGAAAAAATAGAACAGTCATTCCTTATAATTTAACTCAATTCCATTTTAAGGAGTAAATCATGAAAAAACGTTGATGACGTCACGGTCACATGTATAAATTCTACTTTATAACATAAAATTGTAAACCACAGATATGAAGAAAAAAAATATATCGAGAGAATAGAGTTTGCACTTACTGTCTAAAAACTTAGAGCAAAGAGTATTCATCTCAGACCACAATAAAATTAGAAAGGTATGCACGGCGTTAAAAACGTGTTTGCAAAATGCACAAACAAATTCAAACTATATGCATCGTTGAATGCACGGTAATGACGACAATTAACATTCCTTTATTTATAAACAGATAAAACAACATTCAAACCTGTGAACACAATTGTGACAGGCACAATAAATATACATCTTTCTGCTAACGGAACGATGACTGCATTAGAGGGATATACTCTGGAAATTGATCCTTCATCCAAAACCATACGTATAACTGCTAAAACCCATGCTGGGATATTTTATGGAGTTCAAACCTTATTGAGTATACTTGCTGATGGATATAAAATACCTAAGCTTCTCATAGAAGACGAGCCTAGATATGAATTCCGTGGTATGCATCTTGATATTGCAAGAAATTTCAGACCAAAATCAACATTGTTAAACCTTTTGGATGCTATGGCAACATATAAATTGAACAAACTTCATCTTCATGCAACTGATGACGAAGGTTGGAGGTTAGAAATCAAAGATTTACCCGAGTTAACGGAGGTAATAAATTTGATTACCGTTTACTGCCAAAAACTTAACTCTTTGTCCGCATGGAAAAAAACAGTTCTGCATATCTAGTCTTTCCTTTAGTTACTTATCTATATTTTTTTCAGAGACAAAAAATAAAATAATGTATCGTATTTTTAATATTAACTTATGTTGGTAATACTTACGACTAATTCCTTTTGTCAGTTTACTTTGTTCGCTTTGACAAATCTCTTAGAAAAAAAAGTATAACAAAAACTCCAAGGAAAAATCAAACTAGGAAAGTCCATAAAACTGACAGAAAAAGTGAAAATTAACCGCCACATTCTTGGCTTGGTACAGGCATTTTCCGAAGAAAATGGTGGGTTGCACTTAGAACTTAGACAACATTGTTGTTTTTGCTTTCCATACATTTTGTATTCTATAACTTGGGTAGAATATAGATCAAATCCTCAAGTTGTTTATGATATTGTGTCTTCTTCAGATTGGTTCTAACCGTTGTCATAGTTCATCTGAAAATGACTGTCTAATTCCACAGTTAGGGTCAGGGCCTGATAACAGTACTTCTGGGAGTGGATATCTTTCAATTCAAGATTACCAAGAAATACTAAAATATGCCAAGGATCGTCATATTGAAGTAATACCAGAAGTTGACATGCCAGGACATGCACGCGCAGCAATAAAAGCAATGGAAAGTAGATACAAACGGCTTATGCAAAATAACCAAAAGGCAGATGCTGAAAAATTTAGACTTTTCGATCCATCTGATTCCTCAACATATTTATCAGTTCAAAATTTCGGTGACAATGCTCTTAGTCCCTGTATTGAAACTACTTTTAATTTCGTTGACAAAGTGGTGAAAGAAATAAAAGCTATGCATGAAAGTGTAGGACCACCATTAAAAATATTCCATTTTGGTGGAGACGAGGTTGCCAAAAATGCATGGTCAAACTCGGCATCGTGTAGAAGGCTTGGCTTTAACAGCACGAAAACAAATGAAATTCGAACGAGTTTGAAAAAAATGTTTGCACAGCGTGTTGCCAACATTACACACAAACACGGATTAAATCTTTTAGGTTGGGAAGATGGTTTTTTGGAAGGAAATGGAAAGCCTTTTGACAGAGAGTTATTTCCTAACGCTGATGTCTATAGCAACGCTTGGGATAATGTATGGGAATGGGGTGAAGCAAGGAGAGCTTACAATTTTGCAAATGCTGGATATAAGGTAAGCATCACTGAATATTATATTTTATCCTGCATTCTACCTTTTAACTATACAAATACAGGTGTACAGATAACACGAAGCGATAAACGTATAGTTATAGTCTCCTGGTATCCTGCTTCTGTTGCGAATGAACCATTAGGTTCAAATTAATGTTTCCTCTACAGTTCACTTTTGGGTCCGCATTTAATTCATAGATATAAGAAGATTATTTTGTGGTATGAGTGCCAATGAGACAACTCTCCATCCAAGTCAAAATTTAAAAGAGTGAACCATTATAGGTCATGTCGATTTTATTAAAAAAACAAAGTCATAGGTTGGAATGGAAAAAAACTATACGTTTAGGCTGAAAGCTGAATTGCAGGATAAAAACAACATTTGTACAGTGTAGGAAATATCAAATTTATTTGTTGAATCAAGCATCTGCTTCCTTTTTGTGGTTACAAATGTACCATGAAGTATTATTAACTCTATCGATTTACCTGTCGAATTGGCCAGTCTTTAAGTGTTTTTAAAAACATTTTCTTGTAATGCATTTGCTTTTGCACTCTACTGACCCTGTTTCCCGTTGGGTTTTGAAAGAAGTACTTTACAAAATACACGAGTTCAGAACGATTAGTGATCCCTCACTGCAGGCGCTCGATGAAAGAAAATAAATGTTACAGCCACCCTCTTCTGTAGATAAATTAGTCCTCTACCGGCAAAGCTGAAGAGTACTTTAGGTTTGCACTCCGTCCGTCCGTCCGTCCGTCCGTCTGTCTGTCTGTCTGTCTGTCCGTCCGTCCGTCCGTCCGTCTGTCTGTCTGTCCGTCCGTCCGTTCGTCAGTCCGGCAAATTAGTTTTCCACACTTGTTTTCTTCGTGCTAGATTTGATATTTGCTATATAGTTTTATCATAACAAGATACAGATCAAGTTTGAATGTTGTTCCAGTCTGATTATTTTGTGCAGAGTTACGATCCTTGGATTAGAAAATTCATGCGAGTAATCAGTTTTCCGCACTTTTTTCGTCATGCTTGAAGATATTGATTTGATATTTGGTATACAGTTTAACCATGACACGTTACAGATCATGTTTGAATTTTGTTCCGTTCGGATGATTTTTTTGCAGAGTTAGAAAATCACGCGAATAATCAGTTTTCTACACTTTTTTTCTTGATGCTTGAATTGATATTTGTTATACAGATAACCATGACAAGTTATAGATAAAATTATCATTTTGTTCCAGTACAATGAATTTTTAACCGGGAGGGGACTATGTATTACCGTGAAATACTCTCAGAATGCTTGTTTTTATTTCTCAATTGACTAATGCAAAAATGGGTGAACGTCAGGGAAACGCGATTCTGTCTTAGGAAAAAGACAGAGTTAGACTGTGGAAGGTAAATTTACACTAGTTTTGAACGTCTCAAATTAGGCAAACCACAGATTACAAGGGCACTGAGACTGCACCACATAATTTACAAGAATGAAAAGTTTTTCTTAATTTGTCATATTTTATTACATTGGAAACATTAATATGAAATTCAACAATTTAGTAACCGGGTTTTGATTTTCGAAATGAAGGTTTTCCCTGCACATGTTTTTTTAACACAAAGTAACAAGGAAAAGATGTAAACAAACCCGACTACCAATCTATGACAGAAAATGTATGAATAGCATTGATATCCAATTCATAGTGCTGGCATTTGAAGTCGAAGTCACAGTTTTTTCATACTGCCATTCTTTCTTTTCCATTATGACCTCTTAGTTTATTGTTTTCCCCGACCTTTCATAACAGCTTCATTTTACAGATAGTCATGTCACATGCAACGCATTTGTATTTTGATCATCCTTATGAACCGGATCCGGAAGAGAGAGGACTTTACTGGGCTCCTAGATTCACAGACACATTTAAGACATTTGGGTTTATGCCAGATAAACTATATGAAAATATGGATGTAAGCAGAATGGGTGCAAAATTGAATCGATCTAAAATCTGTGGAGAGAATGATGTAAATTGTCCGAGTCTGCAAGAGCCAGAAAATATTATCGGTAATATGTTTCTGATTCTAGCAAAATGAAAAATCATGTATATATTTCTGACCATTGAATTCTTATTTTATTTTTTAGTTTAGTTATATCTCATTTATCGGTTCTCTAAAAACCAACTGGTTTGATAAGAACTCAGAGCTATTTAGATTAAGCTATTAAGCTATGTAAAATCATGCTCTTTCTGGATAACTTTTTCTTCTTGGGCAAGGACAACAGATAGCAAACATATATTATTACTAATATTATTTAATATTTAAGGAGGAGGGAAAGAAAAATGCATCTTTTAATATTTGGTCATAAACTTTTATTAACCTCATGTCTATTGGCATACACCTGTTAAAACACGATTTTATCTTTTTTGCAGGAATGCAAGGTCATTTGTGGAGCGAAACAGTGCTCACAGAGTATAATTTTTATTACATGGTATTTCCAAGGTTATTAGCTTTGGCAGAACGCGCTTGGCACAAGGGCTTATGGGAAGATGAAATCTCGAAAAATAAACGAAACCAGAAAATGAAAGAAGACTGGGATGATTTTACAGAGACACTAGGAGACAGGGAATTGAAACGGTTAGATGAAATGGGTATTGAATACAGAATTTCTCCTCCAGGAGCAAGGTTCGCTATTCTTACTCATTATTACTACTGAAAGTAATAAGATTTCTTAAAGTACAATGTAAACTGTACGTATACGTGCATTAAACAGTATGTAATGCATAACATGTAAGTATCTTAACAAAATGAACAGATGATCATTCGAAAAATCTGATTGGAAATGTATTTGCCTCAACTCATACAAAGTCTCTTTTAATTATGAAAATATATATGCTAGATAAGCCTGCTTGAACTGTGATCAAAATGAGGATGAAAGCTGTAAATATTTTTCTTTGACAACATCAATGAATGTTTCGACAATGCATTGTATAAACAGGTTTTCCTATGAGCAGCAATTGTGCCCTTTGATTAGCAGACGTGTTCTTGTAGTGTTACGAATCACAGTGTATGATCTAAACCAGTAAAGACCTGTCTATGTTCAATTCAATACTAGTAAAACATTTAATAACGCTTACAAGATTTTTAAATGCTTTAAATAATCAAGAATTCTCCGATTATACTGCAAAATATCCACTAGAGAACTGACTTTAAATAAATCAAATACTGACAACAATAATTGTTACTTGTTAGATATGAATATTTCATTTTCACACGGGAAATTCTATGACTATACAAAATTTGACGATGAAAGAGGCGAAATCGTTCCCTATTTTTTTTAACTTTCCTGTTTTAAACGGTGATGTTTCCTGGGACCCTTCTTACTGTGTATACATGTTACAGTTGAAACATTTGAATTCAGTAGGATCCAGAATCCTCCTAGTATATAGTTTGATTCCAATTTCTACTGGCGTTAGTTAATCTAATTTAGTATAATGAAATAAGATTTTAACCATTTGGTGTATGAATAAAGAAAAATTCAATTAATTCAATATCTGCATTTCTTCAAGCACAGCTCGCTTTATTCTCAACAAAATGTTTATTGATGTGGTATGTTGTTGATATTTCTGAACCTAGACACAATGTGGTCATGGAATCAGCATCGATCAATTACCTGAGAAAAAAGTATTTGGAACCGTATCTGACTAAGAAAAACTGTAACAGGTGACACTGTTTGGATCAACGTTCATAAAGTTGACAGAACAAATATAGATTAAACTTTGATGCCTAAAATCAATCTACGAGATTTTATATGAATCGTATTTAATAAAATTATTTTTCAGATGATCATCTTTTCGATTTACCTGCAGTCAGTACATTCATTAATTGTTATGCAAACTGAGTCAAATACTCATCAGTAAATAACTTAATGTTTTCAACGAGTGTGATACAATATTGTTTTTCAGCCCACTATATGAATGTATGCTTATCCTACCAGCTTTTTGTCCCCATAGGTTGTTCACGACAAATCTCAATATCACAAACCTTAATATCATAAAATAGATTGATTGATTGATTATTTGGTGTTTAACGCCACTTTCAACACTATTGTGCTATTTCGTGGCGGTAAGTTTTTATTGTTGGAGGAAGCCGGAGCGCCCGGAGAGAACCAGCGTCCTTTGGTAGGATGACTGACAATCCTAGTCAATTAAGATTGAGTCGAGCGCACCTGCCATTTGCAGAATTCGCACTCACAACCTCAGTGTTGACAGGCTAGTGATACAGTAGTACGACTACTTAGACCACTCGGCCACCGAGGCCCCTTCATAAAATAGAAATACATTAACAAAGATATTGGTTTTATCAACTATCTAGTGTTTTTATGCCTTCCTATTTTGAAAACATATACATGTAGCCTCCTATTATGTCGTATACAGGAAATAATGCCCCTTCAACATGAGACTGAGAAACATCGAAGTTTAGTTGATCCATGTGGCCATGTTTTAAAGGGGATCTAAAGGTTAGTTTAAGGGGAACCACTTATGATAAGTTTAGTATGCAGTTGTATTTGCATTGACAAATCTCCTTTCCATGGGAATTGTTTGGTCCTGATCCTTCAGTCATGGTTCATTGGCTGTTTTTAAATAGGTTTACATGTTAAAATATTGTCATTTTAATTTCAATTTATGCTTCAATGAACGCAATCTTTGTACGACAGGTAATTATGAAGTCAGGGATTTTGTTAACACAATGTTTTTAAAATCTTTACCTTATTCTTTCATAGATACAAAGATTTGGTTTGGAAGTATTACTGTACGTGTAGAAATCTTATTACAAACGGGGTACTACATAAAAAATTTTACGATTTGTTTTATAGAGCATATGGTCATGCTTTTTTCATGTTAATGACATTTTTAAAATTTGTTGGAGATGTACTGATTGCTATGAATGTCTGGGTAAAAACGGTGTATTTATAGGTTGAAATTGGACTTTGAACAAGCTTTCAGTAGCTGTGTGATCTCTTAAACCGGTTTGTGTCTTTTGAATTTTTGTTATTTGTTAAATGCTGATCTGATTAGTCAAACCCTTTCTAACTGATTTTTACAGTTTTTTGTTATAATGTGATGTTTCATCACTGTGCATGTCTGTCTCAAGCCATGGACTTGTAATTAGGTGGTTGTTGGTGAATGCTGTCTGCCATATATTTAATGTTTAAGTATAAATCAAATAGTTGTGTTTCTCTTGTGAGTGTCATTTTAGCTTGATTTTTAGTATTTTAAGGTCATACGGTAACCTCGAGGTGTTAACACCCTTTTCATTTGGTCTTTGGTGGATAGTTGTCTTATTAGCAATCATACCATATCTCCTTATTTTGATATTGTTTTGTTTTAGAGTGTCAGGAAATACAGCGATAGTAAATGGAGAATATAAATCATTATATATAGAGTACAGTCATGACAGCGGCAAAACATGGAAGATTGTTCCAAAAAAATGGAATCTAACTGACAAATTTGACGTACTGTTACGAACAAAGCAAGTATTGCTATTTATTTTATACTAAAGTACTTAATAGTAACAACAAATAAATCGTATGTGTAATACAATTAATGGCAAAAGTGCTGTATCAGCCACGCGTGATGATATCGATATCAGTCACGATTACAAAAACTTCATCAAAACCCTTATTTGTATGACGCCATGTCATTCATATCAGTCACGGTTGCATTGTTAAGGCTTTATCAAACCCCTAATCTGCAATACATCATCTTACGTGAAAGGCATGTACTAGAGTTAATGGAAACGTGTATATGATATGTATTTTTTAATATCATACCCCGTATCAACCCGCAACCAATGTAATCTCTCGAATAGAGCTCTTGAGATTATATTGATGTCTCGGGTTGATACGGATGTGATATTGAATAAAGCCATATGATATTCACTATTTATTTACAAGTATGACCGTTTATCTAAATGTACAATGTTGATTTCCATTCCTAAATGTTATTAAACTAACGTCCCCGTTTCTTTTTCTTGGTGTTCATGACAGTGTAATAAATGGAGACATAATGTTGCTTTCGCACATGCGTAAATTATCGCGGGTTCGTGACTGAAATGAATGTGTACGTTAATTCTTAGCCATGATCTTTAGTGTTCGTATTGTCATCTGATGAAGTCGATCAAGCAGTCAAGCAGTCAAGCAGTCAGTTAGGTGTATATCTGTCTCTGCTTGCAATAGCTTTTTGTCTGAACCCGTGTTTTCTTACTAGGTTTCTTTCTATCGGACTTTTACCGTTGCAGCTGGAAGGGTGTCAGAGTGGAACAGATATCGCTTATGGAATTTTGAGCCGTCAATGCTTTGCAACTTCGTACTTTATTTGTTTTTTAACCTTCTTTTATTCGAGCGTCACTGATGAGGCTCTTATAGACTAAACGCACGTCTTTTGTTCTAAAATATAAGCCTGGTATCTTTGGTGAGTTTTTTTTTTCTATCTTTCTGGAGATCCTAATTTTGTCTCTAGTTTTATTGGGGGTGAACGTTTGCCTCTTGTTATCACTTAAGTTTCTAACGTAAGTGCTGATATATTGAATTGGGTACGTCTGTCCATAATTAATAATTCCTTGTTCATTTTTTCATATTCAGCAATGGCTTGGTTTTTAAGTAATCATTCTGTTGTCACTTTTATCTGCAATTCTTTGTAAGCTTGAACGCATGCATAAACTTTCACTCCTGTACTCGTACTGAGAACAACAAAATTATTATATTTAAATTTACCTTTGTACGTTGTTTCATTTAACGCCATTTTGTCCTAGGTTAGAGTTGTCTTTTTGACACGGTTCCTACATCTTTTTTTATTAATATTGTATTTATATTGTGTCACAGATCAAACTTATTCGTTCAGTGTAACTATGTTTACTTGTTTCTGTTTCAATGTCTTTTTGATCGAGTTAAGCCATTTCAATTGATATTTTATAGTGTGTTTTTTAATGTTGTTATGTTACACTACTGTCTCGGGTTAGGACGAATGTTGATACCTGATAAAACGTTTAAACCCGCTGCATTTTTATGAACCTGTCCTAAGTCAGGAGCCTGTTGTTCAGTGGTTGTCGTTTGTTGATGTGGTTCATAATGGTTTCTCGTTTCTCGTTTTTTATATAGATTAGGCCGGTGCTTTTCCTGTTTGAATTGTTTTACGCTAGTCATTTTGGGGCCTTTTATAGCTTGCTGTTCGGTGTTAGCCAAGGCTCCGTGTTGAAGACCGTACTTTGACCTATAATTGTTAACTTTTTAAACATTGTGACTTAGATGGAGAGTTGTCTCATTGGCACTCATACCACATCTTATTTATATTGAAAAGATTTCGTCAAAGCATTACCAAGTTATTGCACGGACAGCGCTCTAAGTATCACTATTAGATACTTAAAGGTCTACAACTCAACAACGATAAAAGATAAAATCGTGAAAAGTGAATTTGACCTTCATTTAGTCACAAAAAACAACATATATAAATTTGAAAAGATTTCGTTTAAGTGTTTTCAAGTTAATGCACAGACCCTCTTTGGTAGCCTCCGGCCCGACCGCCCGGCCGCCGTACATCGTCATTAATTACCGATATTTTCCTTCGGAAATCCGGTTAAAAATGAATTATAAATGTTTTAGAGTTCAGCTTTCAGTAAACCTTTTATGGTGTATCAATTCACAAACTTTTACAAACTAAACGTATTTCACCTCAAATTTTAGAAATCATAGAATAGACAGGAGAAAAACAGTAAACATGCACTAATTAAATACAATATCTTAAGAAAAATGTTCAATTAATTACGTTTTATATCTCTTTTAATCATATAGCTCCTAACATTTCTACGTACTAGAAATTAGAAATCCCTGGCTTTCAAATGTTTATATTTGAACGTTCCCAATGGTGGGAAATCAGGAAAAGTGCTTCAGGCATACGAAATTTATGAAGTTTTATTTTCATATACTGTTATTTTAAGCTCCACCCTTCCAACAATGAATTATCTACATCATTTTCCATGTCAGAATATTAAAAGAGAAGCGAAGGATACCAAAGGGACATTCAAACCCATAAGTCGAAAATAAACTGACAACGCCATGGCTAAAAAAGAAAAGAAAAACAGACAAACAATAGTACACAAAACACAACATAGGAAACTAACGACTAAGCAACACAAACCCCACTAAAAACTAGGGTTGATCTCAGGTGCTCCGGAAGGGTAAGCAGATCCTGCTCCACATGTGGCACCCGTCGTGTTGCTCATGTTAGTACAAACCCGGTAATAAGTCTAATTCGGTAGGTCACATTCGGGGAAAAGGGGACGGGATTGACGTTACGACATTTAGAACATATCCACTATCATATGTGAAACGGATATTCCATAACGGTCAACCAACTCGTGGTGGCGTCCGTGAAATTTAAGAAGGGATGATTTCAACTTTACCACTTGGAACTCTTGGTTTAATAGCTTCCTTGTGAGCAGCAACCTCTATTAAGGAAATCATGATAGGAAAAACAAGCCCTGAAATATCGTATCAACTGGGAGATATATACTCTGCATGCAGGCGCTGCTGGAATGTTGCTACATAGAAATGGAAAGTTCACAATTGGGAAGCTAAAAGGTTGTATAAAGAATAAAACTGGTTTTTTCCCAAGTTTTCATAAGACAACAAGTGACACATTTGAAACTTTAAAATAAAAAATCAATCCAACTTGTTAAAATGTATTATGGCAACTTTTTTGAATGGTTTTGTCGTCTTGATTTTTAATATGAAATTATATACAGTGTCCTCTGTAAATGGTCAAGCATAGCTTTTCTTTCAATAACATACTTGAAACTTGAACAGTTATATTAATTTATTGAATCATTATTACGTACTGTGTAAATAATCTTAGTAAATGACAAGATGTAAATGACAGTAAAGAAATTAAAAAATTTAACACATCTAAAACAATTGAGGAATAGGCATACAATTGACATCAGATTGTATATTAAGATTGAAAACTTAATTTTTAAGGACGTTCAAAAGTGGTTCCAAAATGTTAATAGTATGTCCATACTTGTTCTCTGTCTGACTATCGACTTCTTCTAAAGAAAGGTAGTATCCGAACTTATAATGATTTCATAGTTCAGCTACCTAGCAAATGTTTTTGTTTTGTTTTGTGTCTACACACTCAAGATTAGGCTATAAATGCCGCTGTTTACTTTTCTTGATGGTCAGAAGAAAATGGTAATAAACTGAGTTATGATGTTGTTATTGTTCATGTATTCGTAAATTCTATTTTGACGAAATCTCTTTGTTACAAATCAACACATGTGCTGGGAGCAGAACACCATCGTTGACACCAAGAAAACCTCCAGTACAAATTCACAACTATAGGTCACCGTAGGGCCTTCAACAATGAGCAAAGCCCATACCGCATAGTCCGCTATAAAAGACCCCGAAATGAAAAATGTAAAACAATTCAAACGAGAAAACTAACGGCCTAATTTACAAAATAATGAACGAAAAACAAAAATGTTACACAGCAACAAACGACAACCACTGAATTACAGGCTCCAGACTTGAGACAGGTACATCAAATGTGGCGGGGCTAACCTAAGTTTGTTTTTACATTTTTCATGATAACTTCTGTGTGGCATGTTTGGAGAAATTGTATGTTTCAATTAAATGTTTAATAAAAAAAATATATTGTGAATAAATTAAAAACATCGGGACAGCTTGATTACAGATTTTAGATCCAGCCATTTTGAGGTATCAATTTATTTATTATAAAACAGTTTTTTTCCAGGTCGGCTGATGGACGCAGAAATAGCAGATCAGTCAAGTTTAACCCAGGTATTGATATGACTTGCACTTAAAACCTAAACTGATATAATTACTTAAGTACAAACAGATCACTTCAACTTAGCAAGTAATAAATATTGTATAAGCATTCTTTTAACAAGAAAACGGATTGCACTGCCAACTGGTGCTCCCCAAACTGCATATTCATTGAGAGAAATCTATTTTATTTTAAGGGTTCAAAATACTAGTATGCTTGGATGGACATGTACTATAATTGCTAAATTTTCACCTATGTAAATGTGTTACATACCATCCCGAAAACTAAATTTAAAAAAAAATCTATATAATATTTGTAACAGTGACCTTGAACTTGACTTTTGACCTTCATCTTCCATGTGTATAAGTTTAATTCCAACCAATAAAGGAAACTCAAGCTAAAATTTGGAAACAGTTTTTCAACTACAAAACAATTCAGTAGCAGTGACATTGACCTCACAATCAATAAGCTTTTCCCCCTTCTTATTATATTTTTAATCTATAAAAGTTTCATTCCAGTCAAAGTAGAGAAACTCAAGTTACCATTTGAAAAACAATGTTTCTAATTTAGTTACAGTGACCTTGACCTTTGGCCTATTAACACCAAAATCAACAGGCTTCTCTCTTTTGGATATATCTTCATCTTTATAAGTTTCATTCCAATCATACAAGGGAGACTCAAGTTATCATCCAAAATAAACCCACGGACGGACAAAGGGATTACGGTATGCTTCCAACTATTTCGGGGGGCATAATAAAAATATAATAATAATATTAAAGCAGGTTATTCATCCTTGTAATTTTGAACGGAAGCATTATCAGAAAAATTATGAAGATTAAGATGTAAGCACATGTCTTATATCGTTGTTACATGAAATCTAATCGGAAGAACGGCATGGTCCCATGCCTCAAATAATCAGGTTAGGAGTTTTGTCAAATAATTTGTTTACTCTTCGTTCCTTATTATTTAAGCTACTAATAAGCCTGTTATTTAACCTACATTTTTTTTATTTTCAATTTCAATATAATAACATGGTCACATTGAAAAAATTATTTACAATACACGTACTGTTTATATTTTTGAAAATGTTATTTGATGCCGGATGAACGAATTTAACGACACCAATAATTGATATTGATGACCGTCTGTTGACCTAGAAAACGATGCTTGCTGGTAAGTTCGTTCGACTTGTTAGTCCGCTTATTTAACGCTATGAAATGCATGGACTGACAGGACGACCAAAATTACAAGACCTGACTGCAAATTATTAGTAATACAAGTAAGCAATGATATATGCCTCCAATTATTGAAAAATGGCTATTACAGTAAGAACGTTAACTTCAAAATCATAGCACTATAACCCAACTTATATCAAGCGTTTTCACATTTAGTTTTTTTAAGCCAACTTTGCGGCGATTTCTATTATTTTTTAGTATTCGTGTGAGAGATGATCCAAGTTGGCAAAACAAGCGACGATATATATTCGCGTTATATTTCTTCTCGCGAAAGTCGCGGATAAAATAAATTGCTAGCGAAAATTAGTTGGTTTTTAGTTATCCGATATGAGGAAAGACAAACAATATTCTGGACCTTCCTACAAGCACATCATGAAAAATATTGATTTACTTGGAAGCAATGCTTTTGAACGCAGTTGTTCGTGTTGCAGTTTAATCTGATAATATTTGTTTTGCTTAATATTTTTATCGTCATTTTCAGTCGACCAAGAAATGATCGATTATTTGGCTGAAAATCTCGACATATCATTCAACGTTATAGACAATTTGGTGGACAATGACAAGAGCTTTGTACAAAGCATTTCTTTCACCAATATTGGGTCAACAACAATACTTCCAGGAGATTGGAGTATATTCTTTTACCATATTCGATCTATAAATAGTTTAAAACCACTTCTACTGCCGGTTTGCGGAATGTTGTTGGAGCATATTGCCGGAAGTTTGTATAAGTTAACACCTGATAAAAACACATTTGTTAAAATAGATCCTCAAGGACAAGTTAATTGTGAGTTCCATGCAAAGTACTTTTCAGTCGCCGTTACAGATAACATGCCGAACTGGTATGTATGGAGCCATGGCACTCAGGCCAAGACAACACATTCTACATATGGGGAGGACCTAGACTTTATAGGACCATACGATACAAGAAATAAGTGGAAGCGATATCCAAGTGATAGATACGATCCTTTCCTTCCTCGCACGCGTTATGTCATGAATAGTGACGTAGCAAATCTTGGCAATGCAAGTGAAGTTGTTAAAGAAGGAACATACGTTATTCCAACACCACAATATATGACCACAGATACGACAAAATCAGTTCAGATCAGTGCATTAGACGGGTGGGTTGTATTAGAAAGTTCTGATTTTCTGAAAGAAGTAGAGTTAATTTCAGGTAAGAAAAAAAATTAATTTCGCTAATCTTGATAAAAGAATTATTCTTTATTCGGTTTTGGAAAGTGTTTTTACTGCAGCCATTGACAATGTTAATTCTTACTCAACTAAAATAACTTTCGCCACTCACCTAAACAGTAAACGATAGGGTTTCGTTTTTTGTGTCCTTAAAGGAGAAACCAAAGATACCAAAGGGATATTTAAACTGATAAGTCGAAAACAAACTGACAATGCTATGACAAAAAGCGAAAAACGACCAAAAGACAAACATCAGTACACAAAACACGACATCGGAAACTGGAGACTGACGAACCCCACAAAATACCCGGGGTGATCTCAGTTACTATATAATCCACTGGAAGTTAAAGATTAATTGGAGCTTATATTTTCTCTAGGTCATGATGTTGATCATCTTCGCTAGCCAAGGGTTACGATCCACTTCCCTCCTCCCCACCCTTGGCGGATAGAGATAGAATTTCGGAGACACAAGGTAATGATTTTCATTGGTTGCAGTCGAAACTCGCTGCATCCAATCAAAAAACGCCTATAACATGATCACGTGTAAATGTAGAAAGTGTATGTAAACAATTGCCACGTGCTTATTGTGCAACAAGTCTTTACATCCCTAAACATACGACTATATTTAGTGACAATTTGAATGTTTTTAATCAATTAGAAGAAGTTCCTTTGTATGTTTCTTGCACAAATGCATGAATGTCAACGTATATTTTCGTTTCCTGCTTTACCAAGTGTGTAGAATCTAGACGCTACCGTGTTTTACTTCCAAATTGAAGAGTTCAAGTGCTACCATTGTCAAGAATAATATATTCGGAATTGGCGTGACTTTAATCTACCGATAGATGGCGCAACATTGTTATCACAAATGTTGGCTTAATCTGCCAAGGATGGAGATGAGGGAAGTGGATCGTAACCCTTGGCTAGCGAAGATTGATGTTGATTGTCGTTGCTTGATGTCCATTAGCAAATAGTGCATGCATATTCAGGACGAGAACAATGTAACAATAATTCGAAAGATAGTTTTGGTAAATTAACCGACCGTGATGTAGAATGGGGAATATTGATAGGGGCATAACTTTTAACTTGCATCAGGAAACCTACATATACATTAAAGAGTTATTGGAATGGTTCTTTAACCTGCAGAGAGCGCAAGGGACCCTTCATGAAGCATCAGATTTATTATCCCTATTTCGACAGGACGTGGCAGCGTAGTTTTGTATTCCACACAACCAAACGTACTCTTGCATGGTTGTACTGACGGACAGGAGACTCCTTTTTATGCCTTGTTCAACTTTTGTTCCTTTCAAATAAATTCAAGGTGAAAAGTATCGAATTTGTACAAATTGAAAAACTGCTGAACCGATTAAATAATTATGACACATAGCAAACACAATCTTTGTGATGACCAATAGTCAATACAAATATATATAGCCTATGAGGAATTTGTGTACTGATATCAAATAGACCACAAGTATATCAGAGATTTTGCTAAAACACAACAATTAGATACACGTTTTATAGCTTATTCTTTAAGTCGTAAGTAACACAAAGTTGTGCCAATATGTCATTCAAAAATATAGTTCTATACTAGGTTTTTTTGGAGTACTCAAATTTACAATTTGACCTCAAACATAACTACCCTCTCTGATAGTTATGCCCCTTTGATTGCTGTAAGAACTTGATGAAAATGGTAAGGCAACATGCATTGCATCCCGATTTTGAATTATTAATCATTGAAGTTTTAAAACTCAATAAAAAATTGAGCATTAGATAGTTCGTTAAACTTCTTTTTGAAGGATACTTAAAAAGAATATATATAAACAAAACTTGTTATACATATTACATAGACAATGAAGACGGTATTTCTTTTTCTTCAATGTTTCTTCCAGAGACATATACATGTAATACAATATTTGTATTATATGTCTCTGATTCTACAAAGAGTTCTTCATTTATATGTATCGCTGTATTGTTCCTTTTAAATGCATATTGATTATTACAATAATAAAAACTAACGAACTACTTTTTGAAGGACATTAAAGAATATATATCGCCAAAACTTGTTATAAATACCATATAGATCACGAAGACTGTAATTGCCGGACCATTATGTATAAACCATGTGACTGAATCGCAATCTCGCGAATATAAATCTAACTTGTTTTAAAAATTGTAATTATAATAATATTACACCAGAATGGTTACAGTAGTCAGAGTATTGGTAAACTGCAATAAAGCAAAACTCAATACTTACAATGTGTATGAATAGAACATATAAATGTTTTTAAATGCAAATATTATATATAAATCAATCAATCAAAAACGAAAGCAGAATTTTCAGTTCAAATCTCGTATATAAATAACTTACAGCTCGTATGCTTTTCACTTTTCACTATTCAAAATTCATGAACAGTGAACTGTGTATTTTTTCACTATTCATTATTCAAATTTATTCAAATTGAATAACTTTGATATCTACTTGTTCAGTTTTGTGTAATATTTGTTTTAATTCGATTGAAATCCTATCAGCTAAAAACGTTGAGGCCTAGTGTTATAGTGTTAAGGTATTATAAGAGATAGGAATTTTTTTTAGCCCGGGCCTCCCCCTTTCGTCTAAAATTATTTATTTTTTACTTAAAATTGCACTTGATAATTATCAGATGAATCTTTTATCCACTTCGGTCAATGATACATAATACATTTTATGCATATCTAGAAACATTATACATTTTATGCATATCTACACGCTTACAGTACAATTGTAGCACTTAATTTGTTACATATTTTTCAATTGGGGGAGGGGACGGGAGGGAGGTCAAACTTTTATTCATCAAGCATTGAAAAGGTAAGCAGTCGTTTCCGCCATCATTCCTCTATCGGTATGTCCATTTAATGAAATATGCCGGCTAAACGGTACGCTTTGTTCGTGTCAGGGGAGGGGAAAAAGAATTATTATATCTCAAAATGCCAATAATTCTTTCTAAATCTCAATTTCAAATTAAATATATTAACATATTTAAACATAAGAAAAACATAGATATATAAAAAAGGCTAAGAAGTAATAAACAGAAGTAATGAAACTTTCGTAAAAAAGACTACTAAGGGGTGTTTTCCTAAAGAAAAATCTAATAATAGCACTAACAAATAGGAGATCTGTGTTATGGAGCGCCCGAATACCGAAAACGACCGAAAATATAGTGTAAGAAAAAATACACCACCAAGCACCTTTCGGTCGAGTTTTGAACCTTTGAATCCCCTAATTACAGGTATATCCTATATATCATAACAAAGCTTATAGACTGGACAACAAAAGCTGTATAGTGAATATAGCGCACAGATCCGGTTTAGGGGGTAATGGAGCGCCCGAATACCGAAAACGGCCGAACCTAAGAAAAAATTTACCACCAAGCACGTTTCGAAGCACGAAAAAAGTATAGACCAGAATGGACATCAGAAAAAAATAGGTTGAATTCGAGAACATTGAGTTCTAGTATCAATGGCCATGTAGTTGAGAACTAATAAATAATCAACAAGAGATACACAATTACAAGAATTTGTGCATTATATTCACTATATACATTTTGTTGTCCAGTGTATCGGATTTCTTGTGATATATTAGATATACTTGTAATTAAGGGATTCAAGGGTCCGACGGTCGATCGAAAAAGTCATGGTGAAGTATTTTTTTCTTAGCTTCTGTAGTTGTTCGCTATTCGTGTGCTCCATGACCCTATAAACCGGATCTGTGTCCTATATTCACTATATATGTTTTGTAGCCCAGTCTTTATCAATACTTGTGATATATAGGATATACCTGTAATTAGAAGATCCAAGGGTCCGACGGTCAATCGAAACATGTTTGGTGAAGTATGTTTTCTTGGTTTCTGTCGCTTTCGGTATTCGTGTGCTCCATAACACGTTCAACCGGATATGTGCACTTTATTCAATATATACGTTGTGTTGCCAAGTATATAGGCTTTCTAATTATATAAAGGATATGCCTGTAATTAGGGGATTCAAGGGTCCGATGGTCGATCGAAGCATGTTTGGTGAAATATGTTTTAACAGTATCGGCGTTTTCGGTATTTATGTGCTCCATAACCAAATAAACCGGATATTTGCACTATATTCATTATAAACGTGTTGTTGTTCAGTCTGTAGGCTTTATATGTAGGATATATCTGTTATTAGGGGATTCAAGTGTCCGACAGTCGATCGAAGCATGATCGGTGAAGTATTTTTTTTTTCAAAATATTGGTCGTTTCGGTATTCCAGTGCTCCATAACCTCTTGACCCTGATCTGTGCACTGTAGTCACTATAAATATTTTGTTGCTTAGTATATAAGCTATCTTATGTTATATAGGATATACTTGTTATTAAGAGTTTCAAGGGTTCGGCAGTCGTTCGAAACGTGCGTGTTGGTTTTTTTTTTCTTTGTTTCGGCCGTTTTTGGAATTTGATTACATTAAGCTTCTAGAAATAAATAGGTGTCAGTGACTTAAGTAAATATTAAACTCCCACTTTATATATCCAAATGCAATTTATAGTATAATTATGTAATTAAAAAAATATATATACAATTTCGGGAGAATAGGGGAGGACCAAATTATCATGTCCCGAAGTACCTTAAATTTACACTATTATACCATTTGTATAAGTTAATTTAAAAATGGCAATTTAAGCTTACAGAATTTGAAAATCTTGCTATCGAATTAAACAAATTATTATATACAACGACATATAGAGGTATCAAAGTTATTCAATTTGAATAAACTTGAATAGTGAAAAAAACACAGTTCACTATTCATTAGTTTTGAATAGTGAAAAGTGAATAGTGAACGTACTTCAGCCCGGTGTACAACATTCAATGAGTCCCTCGTTTATTCTATCAAAAATTAATTACGATAATTTCTCAATTTACTTAAAAGTCATATGAAACGAGTTTCTTGAAATTTTAATGTTATCGAAATTATTGAACCAATGCATGCATATATACCAAACTAAGTCTTGTATACACGTTTTTTTTTTTTATATTTATTACGAATCTATAACATATTATCGACAAATAATATTTCATTCAGTGATTGTTGATCGCAAGCTAATTAACTTTCGAGTTTGTTGTCGAAGTTTACCGGATCGTGAAATTGATAAACAATAAACACAGAGCATGTGGAAAACTTGACAAATAAGTGAATTGAAAGAGCCATGCCATTTGTTTATATATATTCCATGCGTTCCCATTTGTTAATTAAACTTTTCCTAAACAGTTGTTAAATGAATTATTGTATTAAATGTGTTCTTTAAGAATCTGTTATTACTATTTACCTTCCAGAGCACGTTTGTTTAGATTCTTTCATCACGGTTTTCCTCTCGCACTTGCGCTGTTCGGTGGCCGAAGTTATAACGAGAGGTCTCGTAGTTAATGTCACTGCATACGGGAAATGTCGGCGAAATAGTATCTGGGAAGTCAATAATTCAATAGTGGTACATTTCTGAAGATTTTGATAATATAAAGGATGTTCTTTTAAAAGAAAGTTCATGTTCACTTGTTTTATAGTAAAACTTTGCCATTCAAGTATAATAAACATATTCAACTTTTTTTAAAATTTGAAGTTTCATATGACTTTAAACAGTAACTCTTAGATGAAAAACATAGGGTGGTCATGATTAGTAAACTTATGGGAGCTATATAAAACATACATAATTTCTGTATTGTATTGTTCGATTACAGATTTTTATGCTATCAACATCAGCTTACCCTATCAAATGTCTAAAATCATTAGATTCATAAAGAGAGATATCTCAAAATTTCCAACTTCATTAGCAAAGACTGAAGCATACTTTCTTGAAGTGAAACCAGAACTTAATGAAATAAGAATAACAGTAAATAGTCCCAAAGGAGCCTTTTATGCGGTGCAAACTTTGAAGAGACTAAGTGTCGAAGTTACAAAGAATTCCTACAGAGTCTACAACATCTACATAAGTGACGCACCACGGTACGACTACCGGGGAATGTTTCTTGACGTAGGAAGGAATTTCCACACTAAAGAAGAGATTGCAGTTTTACTTGACTTTATGTCAGTTTACAAATTGAACAAATTTCATTTACATTTATCGGAAGATGAAGGTTGGCGACTAGAGATACCTGGTTTAGAAGAATTAACTACGGTAAAGTATTCACTTTGGGATATAAATAATGTGAATGTCGAGTACAAAAAATCTTGAAACACCCTGTTTAATATCAGTCACATATTTTTAGGAATTTGTAATGGAGAACTCACGGTAAGACTCTTTCATTTGAAGGAAACTCTTAAAGTCTATCTTTTTATCTTTTTTATTCGAGCGTCCATGGTGAGTCTTTTGTAGACGAAACGCGCGTCTGGTGTACACAATTTTAATCCTGGTATCTATGATAGGTTCATTATTAAATGCGTTTATGATCGATAAACGGCAGATGTGGTATATACTTGAAAAATCAGCAAGCTCAACAACTAAAGAAAAGCTAGAAAGACTTGGGGGTCCACATAACGTCTTAAACAATAGACAAGTATATATGATTGGTCAATCTCTGAAATTGTCCCAATTCAACATCGGTTGCTTTTAACAGATACTACCAATGACCTGCATCAACACAACGATAGTATAAACATCGACAACCAGTGACGCTGTTCCTGACTGTTCATTTCCGTTATCAGACATAGTTTCTGAATGAATTTTAGTGCTGCTCTTTTGAATTCAGACAATTTAAAACATCAAACAATATTGCTATATCTTTAAAGAATTTTTTGATGATTTATGTACAATAAGGAGATGAAGTATGATTGCCAATGAGACATATATCCAACAGAGTCCAAATGAAGCGCATTTAAGCAAGTATCGGTCACCGCACAGCTTTCAACCATTCAAAACCAATACCATATAGCAGCTACTAAAGGCCCCGAGATGACTTTCAAGATTCCATTCAAAAGTTTTATTATCCTCAGACACAACAGTGTACAAGAGGTCAATGTACATACATACATACATACAATGTACATACATACATACATAAATACATACATACATACATACATACATACATACATACATACATACCTAAATAGACGATATATTTATACAATAAGTATAATTATATATAAATGAAAACATTACATGTACGACAACAGGAGCTAATACTGACACACATTTAACAATCACGTGATTCTTATGGCACTTTCATATACGTATACAATACAGTCAGTTTACAGTAAATCGTTATTTGGATTTAATACACTGTCATAAATGTGTGAGTATTTACATACATTTTTATAAATACTTGATTATGTTTTTAGTATTACAATATAACTTTACATTGCAATAGGAAAAAATTCCGATCATCTTGATCTCTGATGGATTTGTATTGTAATAACATGGAAGACATTTTTTGTGCAGATCCACGATTTGTAGATATGTATAATGTTCTTTTTACATAAATGACATATTCTATTTTGTTTGTGGATCTTTGCCCATCTTCCTGTCTCTATGGGAAGTTTTAAATTTGAACATCTCAGTTTACACATATAAATTATATTGGGTACAGATAATCTTAGTAAATACGGTTCAAGCTTAAATTCTTGTTTAAAGTCAATAAAAATCTCCCCTATATGAACTATTTATTTGCAAAAACCAGTTTTAAATAGAATGATCAGTCAAATTCTGTTTTAGAATAGACTTGAGAACAATTTTATCCATATGCATTTGATCATTCCATGTAAAACTAAGCCCTGTTTCATCAAAAATAGATTTACCATAAGCAATCCATTTAAAATGTCCTTGATTACTCTCGTGAAGTTTAAACATAAGTCTATACAAAATACTAGTTATTTTGTTTCTAACAAGGTTTCTCCAAAAGCCATTCTCAATTTAATGACAATTTCCATTGGAAAACGTCCCAGTTCTCCATATACCATATAATATAGCTAGGAGTGTCGTTTCTTAAATTGAGAAATTTCTTACAAAATTGCAAGTTTATTTTTTCTATACCCCGTTTATTTTCAAACCCACATACTGCACTTGAGTAGTAAAGAATTTAGAGTAATAAGTGAATCAAACAATTTTAATTACAAATCTAATGGAATTGACAGATTTCTTGTTTTTTTTTCAAATAAAGCAGATAATGCTTAAGTTTATTTGCCTGATCCAGTAATTTCTTTTTTGCAATACAAAAACTGATGAAATACGAAACAATTTAAACGAAAAAAAAAACCAACGGCCTGATTTATTTGAAAACAAGTAACGGAAAACAAAAATGACAGACAGATCAACCACAACCACTGCATAACATCCCCATTATTTATCTCCCTTTAATAGACACAATTTAGACTATGAGCGTTCCTGTTTAAATGTAATCTCGAGATGTGTATAGAATACAGAACCAGCTACAAGGAGATAACATAGAAATGAATAAAAAAAATTAAAAAAATATATAAAAAGTACGTTATGCCTTGATGTGTTTGTAGTGTATTAGATGATATTTGATTTCTACATACTTTCTATCCTTATTTATTGGTATCTTTTCATATTAATATACGATCATGTTGGATATTTTGACCTTTTAAACTGATGTTTTTCGCGTTACTTGATGATATGCAATGAATGAATTGATACTTCAGTTACCACAGCCCTGTGTTGAAATTAGTAGGCACCGATGATTTTTTGTTAATCACTGTCTGATGCTCAATGTAATAGAACACGATTGATAATGGGTATTTTTTTCTTTATTTATTATATATACATGCATGCAGGTTGGATCCCATCGATGTCATGATTTAAAGGAAAGAGTGTGCACAGCTTCTCAACTAGGATCTGGGCCAAATAAAAACAACTCTGGAAGTGGGTTTTATACCGTTGCCGACTATCAAGAAATATTAAGATATGCTAATGACCGATACATACAAATCATTCCTGAATTTGACATGCCTGGTCATGCAAGAGCTGCCATTGTTTCAATGAAGGAAAGAAAGAGAATTTACGATATGAGAAAAAATAGTTCAATGGCTGAGCAGTACCTTCTACATGATCCTGATGACGTTTCAGAATATATGTCAGTTCAATGGTTCGTAGACAATGCCGTCAATCCTTGCATTGAAAGTACATATACTTTTATTGATCACTTAATTACAGAAGTAAAAGCTATGCATGATGGGATACAAAATTTGGAAATTTTCAGTTTTGGAGGCGATGAAACTGCAAAAGGTGCTTGGGAAAGGTCTCCGAAATGCAGAGAATTTATAGCGACTAACATAGGCATAGACTCCGTCAGTGATTTAAAAGAGCATTTTGCACGACGCGTTGGAAATATAGCCAGTAGAAAAGGATTGGATATCTCCGCCTGGGAAGACGGGCTTATGCATGGGAAAACGCCTTTCAATTTGACTCATCTTGTACCAAATGGAAGGTATATATTTTTAATTATATCATTTATGAAATTTTTATATTTTCGTGCACATTCTGAAGTAAATTAATGTTTCAATTTTTAGTTCGTCAAAATTTGAATATTGTTAAATATTATTTTTAGTTTAAAATTGTTCCTTCCTTAATTGTGTATCTTTAAAACTTGAATTATGTATATATAAGTGTGTGTCATCCCATTGCAATGTGTTTTTGCATTGAACTTCAATCCGAGTTTTTTTAATTTTTATTTACTTTTTTCAGTGCCGTCGCTCAAAAGGCTTTTATTTAAATAAATTTCTTTATCGGGAATGTATTACCGTCAGCATACGGTTCATTTGCCTGTCGTGAGTGTGTGAACAAAGACAATTCATTTTTTCTAAATAATGTTATATATATTTTTTAAAGGAGCATATAGAGTTGCATTTCCGTCTAAATTTTCTTCATTTTGATGCAGAAAATTATGGTGGCATATATCTGACAAGTCGATTTATATATTAGACAAGTCGACTTATGTATTTGACAAGTCGACTTATGTATCTTGTCAGATACTTGTCAGATGTACATGTCGACTTGTCAGATACACAAGTACACTTGTCACTTAATTTAGTCTACTTGTCACTTAATTAGGTCTACTTGTCACTTGGTTAAGTGTACTTGATATATATATATATATGTATGTTTTTACATGTCATGAAAAGGTCGAAAACGCTAAAAGATGTTTTATTTTTCTACAAAACAGTTTCATTTTATTAACTGACAAGTATTGATATGTGTTTCTTTATTCTACATTGGCTAGAGGTATATGGGGAGGGTTGAGATCTCACAAAACATGTTTAACCCCGCCTCATTTTTGCGCCTGTCCCAAATCAGGAGCCTCTGGCCTTTGTTAGTCTAGTATGTTTTTTAATTTTAGTTCATTTATATGTTTTGGAGTTTAGTGTGACGTCCATTTTCACTGAACTAGCACACAATTTTAGTTAGGGGCCAGCTGAGGACCACCTCCGGGTGCGGGATTTTCTCGTTGCATTGAAGACCCATTGGTGGCCTTCGGCTGTTGTCTGCTCTTTGGTCGGGTTGTTGTCTCTTTGACATATTCCCCATTTCTATTCTCAATTTTATACTTAACTAAGTGACAAGTAGACTAAATTAACTGACAAGTCGACTTATTTAGTTAATTAAGACGACTTAACTATGTGACAAGTAGGGGCAGATATATGCCACCATAGAAAATACATTCTTTACTTGGTTTGCATATTTTCAAATTTTAGCTCTAATGACTTGCTACATAATCGGGTTATCTTATCATTTTGTCATGAAATATCCCGGTTATACTGTTTATAAATATATTGAGCATTTAAATTAACTGAACATTTCTTTTGCAAAAACACAAGAATACCATGATATATCTTAATTACAAAATTTAGGAATACTGCCGTCAATGAATTTCATTTTTTTCTGAATCTGGCTTGGTATAGCAATGTCGATTAAAATACAATACTTCTGCGCAGTAAATCAAAGAAATTACTAAAAATAACTTTTAGAAACGCACAAAATGAAGTCGTCTCTCACGTTTCTGGCTAAGTTTCAACCAAGTCGTGCATGGATTCAAATTTTGCAAGATTTTGTTCACATTTCAGTTTAAGGGCGGATTCAGCGTTGCATTTGGTATGTTGGGAAGGAAAAAACGCTCTAAAACTTTGAAGTTTATATGTTTGCCTGTTAATCCTCCATATCTTCACATTAAGATAGTTGTGCCATGATTACTTAGGTTAAACAATAGCACTTAGTTGATTGAGACTCCTAGAGAAGAACAATCCAATTTATTGCTTCGCATCACGGTGCGAAGCTATTAATTTCATACGATATTCACACCATCTTGAAATAATTACGTAGCACATATCAGTTCTCATTGCTTGCCTGATGATGTTAGAAAGATTCAATTGGCTAGAAAGAGATATAGAATTGGGAACATGTTCCGGACAGGAGAATATATTAAATACGGACAAAATTACAATATGGGGGTATTCGAGATCCGATCCGATTCCCGATCAAAGAATAATTTTGCCTTTACTGGTTTAGCTTACTCATGCAACGTCGAGTCAAATTAAGATTGATAAATAGGTAGAAGGCCAAAGATGAACAAGTTTCTGAGTGATCATCTGACTATATATGCATATACAACAACACTTAAAAATGATCACTACTGCCAATGATCTTCAAAAAATTTGTCAGACTGCATGTCTTCCATCTTATAAAACCAAATGATATATAAAAAAAAACAGCTACGCAAACAGCACATGATACACCGAAATGTGCATTTGAATTGTCATGAGAATGATCTGGAATATTTAGGAAGCATCTAATAACAAGTTAGTAAAAGGGCTGTGTAAGAAAACATGTTTGAAATATCCATATGAAAATAATTATTGCGTAAAAATAGTGAATGTTAGAAGTCCCATAGCTCTGGAGTGATTAACCATAAAATTTACAATTCTAAAGCGAGTCTAGATTCACCAATACCAAAAATAAAGTGTAAAATATGTTAAATTGATCCAAAACTACTTGATCTATTGTAAGACATGTAGAATAATACCTTTCATTAATGTGACCGTCAAATGTCCTGTTACTGTGGAATGACAAATCTTAGAATGACGCCAACAAAGAATTTAACAATCAAGTGGAAGCTTCCTTCTTACAATCCTGATGTTCCGTTTAAATTTTTAAGGGAATTGGTTAAAGCAAATTTGAGTTATTGTAGGAAGTGTTCATGGACAAACTAAAGTTCCCAACTAAGACGGGCTTGTAATACCACACTTATGAGTATCTACACAAAGGAGATAAATAACACATTTCCCATACTTAATAATCACATAGACCACATCTTAATGCATAAAAGTATGATACAGCGAAGCACTCCAAAGCTTTTTAGAAAGCTAAATAACTTATATCAATTAACATTAATCTATAGCTAGAAAAGCTTTTATATAAGACAGATGCATCCAACATATTAGAAAGTTAATATAAATGGTTTTTTTCAATATGCATATTTGTATGTTTGTGACTCAGCCTCATATCTCGCATGTATGTGCGTTTTTTTTCACCCTTTTTACGCAAGACCAGTTGATAATCCAAAGATTAAAAAAATATTAATCCAAACAATAATAAAAAATTGTTTACTAGCAAACGAAAAATGTATTAAAAAAATGATAAGAAAATGCTTGTCTCATTAAAGCCATTCTACATGTATCATCATTGATTCATTCATGTTGTAGCGGTGTCTCAGCTACTGTGACTGCTATGCAACGGCTAACGTAGAAACACTGAACTGCTGGCAAAACAGCTGTCTATTCAATGAGCATACAGCGCAACTGTCGCCGTTGTCTTTTTTTTTTTATTTATTGGTAATAAATAGCCAAAGGATGGAGTGGGGTAACCTAACCTAACTATAGAATTGTAGCCCGGGCAATAATAAATACGAAGTTGTTTTTTTTGTTTTTTTTTGTTTTTTTTTTTAACATTTTATACTTTATTTCATTAAAGCTGTGCATAAATCTTTTAAGGATACAGCTTTCTCCTTAGAAGCCCTAAATACTATAAATAATAGGTTTAGGGTTACCTGTTGATACTAGTAATACTATAAACATAAGTATAAATTACAATTTACAATTTTCCGGAAATATAACAGTGTTTTTCCGTATATTTTAATTTACTAATAAATCGTCCACATATCTCCCTATATAATACAATACTACTATAACAAGTTCCACAAATAACTTTCATTTCCTAGACTTTCCTATAACTTTAATATAATGAAATAAACAGTCAGCAGCAACTGGTTACTTCTCTGGTACATTTGATAGTTACTAAAAAAAGGGATGATAGCTCTTATTCAACTATAGTGTAAATGGACTAATAATAACAAAACTGCGTTAAGTAAGTAAATAATAAGAAATCCAATTTCTCATGGAATTTAGAAAATCAACTATAAAACTAAAAGAATTGAATAATTACCAGATTGACGGAACAGTAACATTATCCCCTCTTCAGAACAAATGTTCTATTTCGAGCATAAATACCTGATAAAATTCATAACTACATGTGAAAATATATAGGTTATCTTTACATTTTATTTCAATTTAAAATAATAAAGGTAAAATAAAAATTACATTAAAATTTGAAAATCAAATTAAATATATAAAACATTACAGTCCAAATAAAATATAATGTTACACTGAATATTTTTATCTTTCGTATCTATGGTATCTTGGACTTCGTGGTCTATTATTTCCTTGTTTGGGACTATTGCTGGTTCTCTGTTTACCATATGTGGTTACTTGCCTGGCTTGCCATGTTCCTCCTCACTATAAATGGTCAAGTATCCATGTGCTTTTAAGAATGTAGAGAGTGTCGTCCGTAAACAACTTTTTCTTCCTTAAGTAGTCTTAGGTAGCCATCTGGGACCACCTTGGTATCAACATCAACTGGCCTTTCCCTAGCTCTAATTATAGGTCGTTAAACACCCCCTAGTAGTAGAAAAACCTTAATTGTATGTACTGCCTGACATGTAGCTGGACAGTGGACAGCACAACCGGAACGGTGGGTCGTTTAGTGACTCATGTGTAGCTCCAGTCATTAAGCCTTCCTCTTCCTGTGGGGGTTAGGTGTATCATTCTCGGTGGATAAAACGGCATCTCTTCCTGAAACAATACGTGTCTTCTATCACTATCAAAAAAGCCTCCTCTCTGGGTCATAACCCTGTAGGTTCTGTTGAGGGGTAGCTGGATCCTCTAGATGTAGGACCCTATTTGTTTTTGTGTCTGCTTTCACTTGGAAGCTAAGGGTTCCGAACCATCTGTGAAGTCTGGGGTGCTGGCATCGTAGCTGTGTTGGACTGACTGGAAACAGTCTGGTTTATTATTGGTCTTTTCAACAGACGCGTTAGGTCTACCTGGCATCCAGTCTGTATTGGTTTCCCAAAGAACAAAAGTTCTTCATCTGGGGTTA